AACAGGGGTTATACCGTGGGGGAGGGACATAAAAAGCAACAAAGAAATCATCTTATAAATATGTTAGAAACAATAGCAAGAAAGAAAAACCATTTGAGTCCTTATCTTGGGGTTCATTTCCCTAACATCAACTTATCCGACCGTTTCTGCTGGTCTCAGACATATACTGGTAATTACAAATAAGGGAAACCATGGGACCTATGTTTCTTTAGGCCTGGCTTACTTCACTTAATATAATTTTCCAAGTCTTTCCATTTCCTAACAAATGGGGCAATGTCTGTCTGGTCTTCATCTGTCCCACGAAAGACGGATGGGTTCGGAGGAAAGGTAAGTGCGGCAGCTGGCCTGTTCCCCAGCCTCCCTCTGCCCCAGAGAGGCAGTGACACAGCGGGGAATCAAGTCAAGCAGGAAAACTCGTTTATTAACACAGAGAAAGCCCTTTTTAAACCAAAAAAGAGCGGGTGGCATGGCAGGGGAGGAAAAGGAACCAATCACTGTCAAGGTCACACCCTATCATGCACCTAAGCTTCCATGGGCTGGTTACACTGGTTACACACTGAACGAAAGCAAATTGGGCTCTGCCCACTCAACTCCCTCTCAGCGCCATCTTTGCTGCCCATGTGCTCCACAGATGTCATTCTTTCTGATGGTGGCATAGAATTCCATTGTGTATCTATACCACATTTTCTTGATCCATTCATCTACTGAGGGGCATCTGGGTTGGTTCCATATCTTAGCTATGGTAAATAATGCTGCAATAAACATTATTGTGCTGGTAGCGTTAGTGTGGTCTTGTTTGTGATCATTTGGGTAAATGCCCAAAAGTGGGATTGCTGGGTCATAGGGGAGCTCTATGTGGAGTCTTTTGAGGAAACTCCATACTACTTTCCAAAGTGGTTGAACAAGTTTACACTCCCACCAACAATGCAGTAAGGTTCCCTTCTGTCCACATCCCCTCCAGCATTTGTTGTTATTAGAGTTCTTGATTATAGCCATTCTAACTGGGATGAAGTGGAATCTCAATGTTGTTTTGATTTGCATTTCTTTGAGCATTTCTTCATGAGTCTATTGGCCATCCTTCTTTCCTCTTCAGAGAAGTTTCTTCTCAGAGAAGTTTCCCACTTATTTATTGGGAAATTGTTTCTTTGAGGATTTGTTGCTGGGGGATTTAATTTTTTGAGTTCCAGGTATATTTTAGATATGAGACCCTTGTCCATTATATGGCTAGTGAAAATCTTCTCCCAAGCTGCAGGCTTTCTATTGATCTTGCTAGCTATGTCCTTTGCCATGCAGAAGCTCTGCAATTTCATGCAATCCCATTTGTCCAACTTTCTTTGATTTGTTGTGTTTCTGGGTCTATTAAGAAAATTTCGGCCTGTGCCAAGGAGACCTAGGGTTTCTCCTATTCTGTCCTGTAATGTTTTCAGAGTATCTGCTTTGACAGTGAGGTCTTTGATCCATTTGTAATTGATTCTGGTGCAGGGTGATATATAAGGATCTAGCTTTAGTTTTCTACAAGTGATTAACCAATTTTGCCAGCACCATTTACTGAAGATACAGCCTCCATCTTATTTTCACCATGAGCATCACAGTCCTCTCTTCATCTCAGAGTTCCTTCACCTCCTGATTTTCTCTTTTTCTCATCATCCTAGATGATGTTGCTTTTATACACCATCTCTGCAATGAAGCAGCCATCAGCATGACCAGTTAGGGAGTTGGTGCTCTTTGAATTCACTCCTCTTTTCTAATCCTTCTCTCTACTCTTGCCACATGTGATGTTCAATACTTCAAACATTCCCACTCTTGGAATAATATCATTGTAACCTTGCTGCTCAAAATATATCCTTAGAGGGAGAATGATGAAAGGGGTGACATTAGTCAAGATGCATTGTACTCGTAAACTGACATGTTGAACGACTTTGTACAACGACTTAAATTCTTTTAAATGCATCCCTAGGGCTTGTTAGAAATGCAAAACCTGGACTGGGAATGTGCTTAGTGGTAGAGTGCTTCTTAGCATGCATGAAGCCTTGGGTTCGATTCCTCATACACATACACGGAAGTCGTGCTGTGGCTCAAGTGGTAGAGTGCTAGCCTTGAGCAAAAGAAGCTCAGGGAAAGAGTGCTCAGACGTGAGTTCAAGCCCCAGAACTAGAAAAAAAAAAAAAGCAAAACGTTAGCCGCTTCCCAGATTGACCTTGAATCTGCTTTTTAACAAGCAGATTTAACAAGTGAGAAACCCTTTCCTTACTTTTTTCTTTCTAGCTGCCTCATATAGTATTCATCTCCTTGCTCATTGTGCCCTGCCTCTATAGCTTTCATAAGCCCTATTGCTGTCTCAGGCTTCTGTTTACACAGGGCCTGGAACCTGTGGTTCCCATTTGGAGAGCCTATCACATCAACTTGCTTTTACTGAGTCATGTGATAACTTGTAGTTTTCTTTCAGGGCATCTAATGCAAATTATAATTATAAATTGTATATTTACTTCTTGTGCATTTTTCTTCCTAGATAGCAACTCTCTGAAGATTAATATTTAAAAGAAATACCTAGTTTGCTCATTCTTAATTCTTCATAACTTACTATAACCTCTAGAATATAAAAAGTATTTAATAAAATGCATTTTGCCACCTTTGTTCATTTGACAAATATTTAATGTTTCTATGGTGTGTGAGGCACTGTGCTAGATGGTAAGCAGTGTTTTTTATTTCCTGGTACTTCCAGAATAGTAGGGGAAGTAGTCAATTAAATAATCACAAATATATAGGATATTACAACTGAGGCAAATGAGCACAAAACAAAGGTTATTTTCCCTCTTCTGCTACTCAATGTAGAAGCATAAAAGTCAACAGGTCTTTTATTTTCATGTACAGAAAATATTTGAGATATAATTCCTATAGCATACAATTTACCCATTTAAACTGTACATATTTATAGGTTTTAGTATATTCACAGAGTTGTGCACCCAGTACTATAGGTTTTAGGGTGCTTTCATTCCTTAAAAAGCAACCTCATTTCGTTTGGCCATGACTGGCCAAGGCTATCCAGGACAACTACTAATCTACTTTCTGTCTCTCTGATTTTGCCTTTTCTGATCATTTCATATAAATGGAATCATAGAATATGTATTCTTTTGTGAATGACTCCTTTTATTTAGCACAATGTTTTCAAAGCTTATCCAATGTGTATCATATATCAGGATGTAATTTCTTTCTATTGCCTAATAATATTCCATTATATTACGGGCTTGTTTGTTTTTTGCCTAGCCAGAAACAGGATGCTGGTCCATTTTTCTGCTTCACTGCCAAACAAATCAGTTTGTCATGTTTCTAGAAAAAGGTGACAGTAAGTAAATGTTGGCTGAGTTTTACAAGGGTGGCAGCGGCTGTGTTTAGAAAGCTGCTTTTCATGACTGATTTTATTCACTCAGTTCTCCTAGTCTGTTTAGTATTTCTGACTCACAAACGGAAGTGATTCTATTTTGGCATTCTTTCTTTCTTTCTCCCCCTTGGTCTCTACTGACTTGCTGTGTTAAATTATGCAAGTTACTTAAACTCTGTTTACTTAACTCCTGCCTGCTCTGTAAAATAAGCACAGATCAGCTTGCTTGTTTGCCAAGGCTGTTTGGAGACAATTTTTCATATGATATGCATCATCAGCTTCCACAGAAGGCAAAAGGAATTTGATGTGTGGGGGTAGTCTGGGATCCAGTCCAAAATTAGTGCTCATCTGGAAGAAATATGGAAGCCTGATACTCGCTTGCTGGCCTTTTCCTTGTTTTCATTTATTGCCTTCCCTCTGAGAGACTTTGTAAATTTCTAGGTGTTTTTTTTTCTTTATGAGATAAGCTAAAACAAAAAAAAAATTGAAGTGGAAAAAACCTGATACCTTCTATTGGCCAACCATGAATCTAACAGAGTAATTTGTGTGACCTAGTTTTATGACCTGGGGAAGGATTACCTATAATATCGAAAAATTACCCTCTCCCTCCCTGATCTCTGTAGATTCCAGCTTGGGATGTGAAATTCAACTACATTTATATTATCGTTTATCTACTTATGCAAAATGCTCTGAACTGGGTGCTAAGGAGGATAGGAAAAGAAAGAACTCGAATCCTTGCTCTTTGTAATGGAAAGATAATGGGGGGGCCCACATAAGGTAGAGAAGGAGTAAGTGCCAAGATGGACAAAAATCTAGATATTCAGGGAGTAAGCAGAAGAAATTTCGGCTAAGTGGGGGACAGGTATAGTCACAGAGTTTTTGTTTTTTTGTTTTTGTTTTTGTTTTGCCGGGCATGGGGCTTGAACTCTTGCTGTCCCTCCTCTCTTCAGCTCAAGGCTAGCAATAGATATTGTTTTTGAGCCGTGTTTTACGACTAGATTGTACTTTTAAAGGTAAGGGAATCGAAAATAGTACAACGGACTTCCTTGCAGGGGAGGGAAGGCATACAGCTCTAGTCTGAGAGGTGTGAAAAGCATCTATAAAAACTAAATTTGAAGTTAGGATGGAACACTTCATAGCAGGCAAGAGGATCTGTTCTTGATCATTTAAGCAATAGGAAATCAGTAAAGGTTCTTGGCAAAGTGCATATCAAAACTTCTTAAGAACTATTAAGCTGGCAGGAGGATGAAGGGTTGATTGGCAAGAGGAGAAAATTTAGGCTGGAAGACTAAGCAAGTGGCTGGTACAGCAGTCCATTCGAGGCAAAAGGAATGAAAGGGAAGGTGACAGACCGCTAAAACACGGGTCTGAGATCCAAGTGTAGGAAGAAGGCTTGAGGGTACTCTTGGAACAGAAATCCCACTTGGGGTCGAGTGGGAGGAGCCAAAACTATAGCTACACCCTCCAGTGACGCAAGATGGTCGGCTGAGACATTCGATTGGCTATACTAGCTGCCAATCTATAGAAGAGGCGGTGCCTACCCATTTGGGGCTCCGAGAGGCGGGACCAGAGCAGGCTGAAAGACCCGAGAGCCAGAGCTTGGGACCAGTCGCCGGTAGGAGTTGGAGTGCTGCCGCCAGATCCTGTAGCAGAGGTAGGCAGATGGGAAGGACTGGGAGCTAGGAGAGATCTCAGTGCTTCTTCCAACCCCAGGGGTCCCCGCCCCCTCAAGGGCGCGCTGTGTCTTGGGGTCTCCGAGCCGAGGATGGGGCAGCGGATGGAGCAGGCGGGCAAGGGCCGGGAGGACGGAGCGGGCGGGCGCCGGACGCGGCCCCGCGCCTCGGGTGGCAGCCGGGGTCTGCGTCCCCCCTACATCTGCAGGAGTGGGCGGGGAAGGTGGGGGAGGTGGTCCGCAGCCCTACGTCCCGGGGGCTCCTGTGACGTTTTGTTTGAAAACCCGGGCCCGGGCTCGGGCACCTGGCGGGCGGTGCTGGGGGCGCAGCGGGGCAGCCCCGCGTCCCCGCGCGGAGGGACCCACGCCGTTCACGATGCCGCGGCGCGGCCTTGGCTTCGGGGGAGCTCCACTGTGAGCCTGGGGAGGAAAAATCCACGAACTTCTCACTCTTTACACCTGCGCTGCGGGGGTCGGCTGAGCGCACCAAAGTGACTTCCCCGGAGGCAGCTCTGCCCCTGACGTTAGTACAGCATTTTTTCATTCTAAGACGGGACGTTTTAAACGTGATTTTCCGTGGCCCAAACGGGGTGGGAAGAGACATTGACCTTCTTGCAGGGTAAAAGCTCTGTGCGGTGCTACCTGCGGGTCACCCATTCCTTTGTAAAAATTCCAGTCTTTGCAAGCAGTGTGTACCCCTCAGGAGTGTGGATTCAGCTGCAAAAGTAGGCTGTCCTAACTGTGCCTCCAAAGGGCAGGCGTGGCCCAAGGAGGGGTTCCTAGGTGGTGGTGGTCAGCTTTGAACAAGGCATGCCTCAGTCTAGTTAAGAAAGACGTCTTTGCTGCTTTAGAAAGAAAAAGTGAAAAGGAAACACAGTTACATGGCCCAGTTAAGCTGTTCTTTGAGAGGAAAACTAAATGAGAGGTTGACCCCAAACTTCATGAGCATAGCCTAAAGAAATGAATTCTTCCTTTTTCTTTCCTTTTTGGGATTTGGAAGCGACACAGGAAGTCAGAGATTCAAAGAAAAGAGCATTCACTCCATAATTGTAAACAGTTGATTTTGTGTCCGTAAATATTTCCAAAAGTCATTGGAAGTATTTGGAAAACTAAGATTTCCACCCCCCCTCCCAAAAAAGAAGGTAGAGCACTTTCTAATTCAAAATCTAGAAATATTTATTTAGAAATTGGTGTAGCTCTCAAAGTTGTGTAGTTCTGTAATATCAGAAATATTGAAAAAGGAGGATGGATGTTGCTCAAAATAAGAATTCTTAACCCCAAGTAGTTTGGAGCAGCATTCACACAACAATTACTTTATATGTGTTAGCTAACAAACAAGGAAGTCAGGTGTCTAGATTGCATTGTGGATCATTAGGAAACCATTCTACGGTGTGTTTTTTTTTAAATTATGACCAAATTAATAGGGAATGCCAATTTAATAACATTCAAGGCTTTACAACTTCACTATAAAACATATACGTGCCATAACAAAAGAAATAAACAGGTGTGTTCAACTTTGAATTTATTTATTGTATTTTCTTCTGAGCAAATTACCTAGGTAAGATATATGTTCCATATTTTCACATTTGTAGTTAATGGTTATCTTTGAGTATTAGAGTTAATGGTGAAGTTCTTGGAAGGAATACACATATATAATGAATTTTTTAATGTGGCCCTAGTATGCATCCATCTAAATTGCTACTTTTCCTTTATTGCTTTATTTATTGAGTTTTGGTTCAGGAACCATAAAACTTACCATTTGAAAGTGTATAGTTCAGAGGATTTTAAGTATATTTGCAAGGTTGTGCAACCCTTGTTACTACCTAATTCTTGAATTTTTATTTTCATCCCCCTGGAAAAGAGAAGCCACACCCATTTAGTAGTCAGTCCTCATTGCTTTCCCCTCACAGCTCTTGTCATCCACTAACTTACTTGCTGTTTTTAGTTTTTTCCCCCTATTCTGTACATGTCATAGAAATGGCAAAATATAGCCCTTTTGTGTCTGGCATTTTTTACTTAGCATACTGTTTTCAAAGTTCATGCATTGTTGCAGAATGCAATCATCCATTATTCTGTTTATGTTCCTGAATAATGTACTATTGTATGGGTCACATTTTGTTTATCCATTTATCTCATCGGGTTGTTTCCACTTTTCAGCTATTGCAAATAATGGTGCTATGAACATTGTGCGCAGGTTTTGGTGTGGATAATGTCTTAATTTCTGTGGGTTTGTACTGGAATTGCTGGGTCTTAGAGTAACTTTATGTATAAACTTTTGAAGAACTACAAAGCCGCTCTAACATTTGTTTTCAGTACCACTAGCAATGTAATGAGGGCTCTAGCTTCCCAACATTCTCACCAACACTTGTTTGTATGTGCGCCCTTTCATTTTTGTTACATCTATCCTATTTGGTGAGAAGTACAGTGTTAGATTTTTCACTTTCCTTTTACATGCTCATATATATATATATGTATGTATGTATATACATATACATACATATATATATATATATATATATATATATTGGCAACACTGGGATTTGAATTCAGGGATTCACACTTTCAGCCCAATGAGCCCATTTGGAGCTACTTTGTCAAACCTTTATATCTTCATTAGTTTTGTGATAAGGGCTGGCATTATGCTAGGCTGGCCTGAGCTAAGATCCTACTATTTGTGCCTTTCCACATTGCTAGAATGACAGGGGACTCCACTGCACCCAGCTATTTATTAGTGGAGTTGGAATATTGAATATTTTTCCCCTAGCTTCCCAACCATGATCCCCACATCTCTACATTTTTGCCCCCTAAACAACTAGGATTATAAACTTGAGCCACTTAACCCAGCCCATTTAAGTCTTTTCATTGGAGAAATGTCTATTTGGGTGCATCACCTATGTTTATTGGGTCATCTTTTTATTGGTTCAGTTTTATGAATTATTTACATATTCTAGACACAAGTTCTTTATAAGATATATGACTTACAGAGATTTTTCTCCCATTTTATTGGTTATTTTTATACTTTTTTTTTTTTTGTCAGTTTTGGGGCTTGATCTCGAGGCCTGGGAATTATCCCTGAACTACTTTTTGATTAAGGCTAGCATTCTACCACTTGAGCCACAGCACAACTTCTGACTTTTTCTTTTCTTTTCTTTTTTGCCAATCCTGGGACTTGAACTCAGGGTCTGGGCTCAGTCCCTGAGCTTCTTTTGCGCAAGGGTAGCACTCTACCACTTGAACCACAGCAGCATTTCTAGCTTTTCTGTGTATGTAGTACTGAGGAATTGAACCCAGGACTTCACAAAGCATGCTAGACAAGCATGTTATCACTAAGCCACATTCCCAGCCTACAGCTTGCTTTTTCTGGCTTTAAAGTATGATCCCCTGATCTCAGCCTCCTGAGTAGCTAGGATTACAGGCATGATCCACAAGTACCAGACAAATTTATGCTTTCTTGATACTGTCCTTAGAAGCTCACAATTCTTAAGTTTTGATGAGGTCTAACAACAATTTTTTTTTTACCTGTGTTTTAGATCATATGTAAGAAAATGTTGCATAATTCTAGGTCATAAAGATTTACACCTGTTTTTTTTTTCTCAAAGTTTTAGTTTAGGTTTTTGACCTATTTTGTTTTAATTCATACATTTGGTATGAAGTAGGAGTGTGTTTGGTATGAAGTAGGAGTGCAAATTTATTCTTTTTTTTTTTTATTGGTTGTGGGACTTGAACTCTGTGCTTGGGCACTGTCCCTGCGTTCTTCAGCTCAAGGCGCATGCTCTACTGCTTGAGCCACAGCACCACTTCTGGTTTTCTAGTGGTTTATTGGAGATAAACCACTGGCTTTGAACCTCGATCCTCAGATCTCAGCCTCTTGAGTAGCTAGGATTACAGGCGTGAGCCATCGGTACCCAGCCAAATTCATTCTTTTGTCATATGGATATCCAGCTGCTTCAGCATTATTTATTGAAAATATTATTCTTTCCCCATTGAGTAGTAGTTTTTATACCTTTGCTAAAACAATTGTCTACAAGTTTTAAGGTGAGGTTTTACTACTATTTTTGGCTTTATTCCATGGATCTATAAGCCTGTCCTATGTACAGTCTTGAGTAGTATACCTTTGTAGTATACCTTGAATTGTGAATTGGTTATGCTTATTCATTTGAAAGTAGTGCCATCTTTACGAATTTAGTCTTCCAATCAATCCATGAGTATAAAATTTCTTCTTTTTTTTTTTTTGTCAGTCATGGGGCTTGAACTCTGGGCCTGGGCGCTGTCCCTCAGCTCTTCAGCTCAAGGCAAGCGCTCTACCATTTGAGCTACAGCGCCACTTCCGGTTTTCTGGTGGTTTATTGGAGATAGGAGTCTCACGGTCTCTCCTGCCCGGGCTGGCTTTGAACCACGATCCTCAGATCTCAGCCTCCTAAGTAGCTAGGATTACAGGCGTGAGCCACCAGCGCCCGGCAAAATTTCTTTTTCTTTTTCCTGCCTTCCCTCTTCAAACCCATGAATGTGAAATTCATTCATTCACTCCCTCATTCCTTCCCCTCCCTTTTTTTCTTTGACAATACTGGGGTTTAAACTCAGGACCTCATGCTTACAGGGCTGACGCTCTTACCACTTGAGCTACACTTTCAGCCCAATGAGCAGGTAGTTTCTTCTATTTATTTAGGTCTTTAATATCTTTCAATGATATTGTGCAGTTTCTAGGGTATAAGTTTACACCTGTTTAAATTTATTCTTATTTTATTCATTTTGATGCCATTGTAAATGTAATATTTTGATTTTTGGATTTTTCTTGCTAGGGTAGAGAAGAACAATTGATTTTTGTGTATTGATCTGGTTTTCTAAAGTCTTGCTTATCTCAATAGTTCTAATAGCTTTCCCTGTAACTCTCTATGTATATGATTATGTTGTCTTCAAATAGAGATAGATTTACTTCATTTCCAATCTAGATGCTTTCTTATTTTAATTTCTTGCCTGAGTGTGGATCTCTTTTACAGTGTTGAATAGAAGTAGTGAGATATCCTTGTCTTTTCCTGATTTTAGCACAAAAACTTTCAGTTACTTACCAGTTAGTATTAGTTGTGGATTTTTGTAGATATTCTTTATAAGGATGAAGAAATTCCCTTCTATTGCTAGCATGCTGACTGTGTTTATTATAAAAGGATTTTGTACCAAAAAGCCAGAATGTAGCTGTGGCTCAAATGGTAGAGCACAAAAGCTTAGGGACAATGTCTAGGCCCTGAGTTCATTTCTCAGCACTGGCACCAAAAAAAGGGGGAGTGGGGATTTGGGATTTATAGTATGTTTTTTTCTGTGTTAGTGAAATGATCATGTAATTTTTTTCCTTTATTTTTATTCATATGGTACATTACCTTGATTTATTTATATTTACTAAAAATTATGTAGTCTATGTTAATTAAGTAATTATTTTTTAAGTAATAAGGATTTGAATTCAAGGCCTTGCGACACTTATTAGCCTGGCATGATACCGCTAAGCCATGGCACAACCCTTTCATTTTTAAATAACACAGAATGTAGCTCAGTAGTAGAGCACTTGCCTAGCATGTACAAGGCTCTGAGTTCAATCCCAGCACCACAAACAAAACAAAACAAAAGAACAACGGTAGACACTTTATATCAGACCATAAATAACTTTTATACTTAATACAAAAATTAAACAACATGAAATAGTCTTTCTGTTGAATGATGCCTATAATCCAAGTAACTCAGGAGGCTGAGATCCTGAGGATCTTGGATCAAAGCCAGCCCAGGCAGAAAAGTCTAAGATATTTTTATCTCCAAAAATAGCCAGTAAAAAAACTGAGTTGAAGGTATGGCACAAGTGGTAGAGTGCCAGCTACAACATAAATCCCTGAGTTCAAATGCCAGTACCACCTAAAACAGGAGGAGGGAAGGAAAGAAGAAAGGAAGGAAGGAGTGCTCAGACTCCTGTATGTTATCATCTCCAGTTGTATTTTGGATCTAGTTCCTTTTTATTTTTAATATTTGTATCTATATTTTTCTCTGTCCCTTCTAAATTTTCTTGCTAATGAAGTTAACAGTAGAATGGAGAAAAAGTTCATGGGTGAAAAATTGCATTATTTTTTCAGAACCACAAGGAAGGAAGGAAGGAAGGAAGCAAGGAAGCAAGGAAGGAAGATTTAGCCACTAATCACTAATAGTAATAGCTAATATAAAACAATAATAAATTTTAATGAGAAATTAAAAATGTTAAATTTTATGTGGAAATATTCATTTATTTTAATAAAGCCCCTGGAGTTAAGTTTCTAAAAGAAACAGAAAGAATCATTTTTAGCTCTACAACAAGTTTTCCATAGACTATGGCTTTGATTCAAAGGCATGTGGAAGCTTTGAGATGCCTAAAGTGATTTTAATAAAAGTTATAGCTTTTGAAAACAGTTCTGTTTATACCAATTTATTTCTTTCTAAATTATTGAGTAATAAGGCTGAGAAGGGTTCGATTCCTCAGCACCACATAAGCAGAAAAAGCCGGAAGTGGTGCTGTGGCTCAAGTGGTAGAGCACTAGCCTGGTGGTGAATTGTTGAAGAACAGCACCTAGGCCCAGAGCTCAGGCTCTACGACCAGAAAAAAAAAATTGTTGGTGATTATGTCAGTCTTAATGTGAAAATGACTTAAAGCACAAAACAATATGCTAAGAAAAGAATCTAGTTTTGGGCTGGGAAAGTGGCTCAGTTGTAGAGTGCTTGCCTTGCATGCATGAGGCTCTGGGTTCGATTCCTCAACACCACATAAGCAAAAAGAAAAAAAAGCCGGGAGTGGTGCTGTGGCTCAAGTGGTAGAGCGCTAGCCTTGAGCTGAAGAACTGAGAGAAAGTGCCCAGGCCCAGAGTTCAGGCCCTGCAACCGGACCTCCCCCCCCAAAAAAATCTAGTTTTTAACAGCATACAGTTTTAAAAAATGGGTATTGGTTTAGGGAGGGAGATTTATTACCCTAATGCTATGGAAATAAACTTTGCTATATTTTTGTAGAACCAAAGAATAGAATAAACACCCTTCAACTGAACACTTCAACTCCAATACCATTGGGTTCTGAATGTTTCCCTATGATGTGTTCGTCACTGGGTCTTGTCTCCTGCAGGACATCCATTCTAATGCACAAATTTTCTCTTCATAGTAATGTAGAAATACATATCTAGGCTAGTTATAAAAATTGTCTAGTAAAACATTAATACATACTTAAAACTGCTTTCATGAATCCCAGAGCCAGAAACAATCAGGCTTCCAAAATCAAGTAACACTTGAGAATTTCAAAACCAATTCCCTGGCCTCTTCCCTTCAGTGCTTCTCCCTGGATTAATCTCCAAAAGGAAAGCTCATATCATGGAAACTATTGAGTTCACATTTCCTCAATATAAATGGCTCCAAATGTCATAATTATATGTTTTCTCTTCTTATGCCAAATAAAAATTATACAAACTTGTCTTAAGAGTAATAACTTACCTAGTTAAATATATCAAAGATCTTCTGTCTTGAGAGACTTAGTCTGGACTGGAAATTTAGAGTGGTACTAAGTAATAATTATAGAACAAGTAGAAAACATAATCATGCCATGATGTGATGTTTCATTAGATTATTTTATCATACTACCAATTGAATCAAATTGTGATACTTCTATAAAGTTTATGTGTGTGGTAAAATGATTAAAAGTTAAAAGTCTCATTTGTTGGGCAGAAGTAAATATAAGACTGTGCTGTGCTGTGTTATCACACTGTGCCAAGTTATTTTAGAAACAGCAGTATTTCAGTTGCTGACCACAACACCCCAGAGGAAAAATGGCTCATGGTTGTCAGGCTCTCTCTCTTCTAGATTGGGAAACAGAAAGGTTAAGTAGTGCAGCTGGTCTTCCATTCCATCTCTGGCCTCTTATCTCTCACTAAGTTCTGGCTTTTTGTTTTGTTTTTTGTTTTTGCTTATGTGGTGCTGAGGAATCGAACCCAGGGCCTCATGCATGCAAGGCAAGCGCTCTACCACTGAGCCACCTTCCCAGCCCTCTCACTAAGTTATTTGCATAAGATATGATAAGTTCTGGATTTTATCTTACAACTTAAAACTAATATCTGGATAGCATGAAACAGTGACTGCAGTTGTGTGCATTGGATTATTTGATGAATTATCTTCAATGGTAATGTGCTGTGTTGTTTGAATGCTTGCTTTTTTTTTTTTTTTTTTAGAATAAATATGGCAGAGCTTTCTGAGCCAGAAGGACCAGTAAATTGGAAAGAAAGATGTATGGCTCTGGAGTCTCAGCTCATGAAATTTAGAGTTCAAGCAAGCAAGATACGAGGACTCTTAGCAGAAAAAGTAAGCTTTTCTCCCTAAACTTTGCTATTAAGTGGTCAATTTCATATATATAACCTAACATCCCTATTTGGGGAAAATAAGCATTTTAAGTTAATGAATATAATATTTTACCAAGCATTTGAAACTGTACTTGGCACATTCTTTTGCTACTATTAGGGTGGATTGGGCACTGGAGAGGGAACACCATTATTTTATTTGCAAATGCTAGATTGTGTGATTGAATTTGGAGCTCATTTATTCCAGATAGAAAAGCTATAATGTATCTGATTTCATTACAGGAATTAAATAGCAGTTTAACATTCTAAATATTTAAGGATATCATTTAAGGTGATTATAGAGGAAAATTCCCTTTTGGTAGTAAAATATGCTTATTTTGTATTTAAAAGCGTGCCCCTGCCTAGGAATTTATATCAATTAACTGTTTATAACTAAACCATCATCTGGATGAGAATTGAGTTCAATATAATGGTGTGCTTCTCTTAATAATTCTAATAATATAGTTAGAGTATTATAGGGCAAGAATTTTATTTTTGCAAATATGTTTTATGATTTTTTTGGGGTGGGGGTCTGGTCGTGGGGCCTGAACTCTGGGCCTGGGTGCTGTCCCTCAGCTCTTCAGCTCAAGGTCCGGTCGTGGGGCCTGAACTCTGGGCCTGGGTGCTGTCCCTCAGCTCTTCAGCTCAAGGCTAGCGCTCTACCACTTGAGCCACAGCACAACTTCCGGTTTTCTGGTGGTTTATTGGAGATAGGAGTCTCATGGTCTCTCCTGCCCGGGCTGGCTTTGAACCGCGATCCTCAGATCTCAGTCTCCTGAGTAGCTAGGGTTACAGGCATGAGCCACCAGCGCCCGGCTATTGCATAATTTCTAAGTGCCAACTTGAGTCAAATGCTGCATTTCTGAAACTAGTCTGGTCCTATTCCACAACCTTTGGCTTTGTGTTAGGACCAATCTGATCCAGGGCTTCTCCTAATAGTTCTGTATTTCTTCCTCCCACATGTATACAACTCCAATGCTGAAGATTCTTGAACAAATACTAATTTGATTCTTTAGCTCTGTGCCAAGAATTGTGGCCAACTTCTCTTTTCTGCAACAGTTCTGGTACTTAGGAGTTTTATTTTTATTTGGGTGGGGGAGGTTATTTTATCTTTTATTGGTATTGGCTAAAGGGAGCTAACTCCAGGTGTCAGCTGTAGCTCCTAAGCATTTGCTATGCCCTTAGTTGGTTTAAATTCTGAAGTAAGTCTATGACCTAATTAGCATTATCCCTAATCTATATATTGTAGTATTAAAGCTGAGAGTAATTGATTACTGTGTACAACATTAGCTATTTAACAAATAGCAGAACTGCCATTAAACCTTAGATTTTTCTGATTTTTTTTGTGATGTAGCTCACAGTACCTAGTACATAGAAGTGACATGTTATTACTTCCTCGTGTCTTTCCTTCTTTTTTCTTTTGTGGTGCTAAGGACTGAACCCAGGAACTGGTGTGTGCTGATCAAGTATACTACCACTGAGCTATGTCCCCAGGCTCTCTTGTATCTTTCTGATTTGGACATACTGATTAAGTGTACAAGCAGTCAATCTAAATATAATTATAGGTTAATAAGAAATATATTCATGAAAGTTAAAGGACGATTCATAGCATAGTCTCAGAGTATTTTTATAATTCAAGATGAATTTCAAATAAATATCGAAAATGGAGTAGAAAACCTCATTTTTTAAACACCTATTTTTATATGTATTTTTCCCATCACAATTTCTAAGTAGTGTAGAATATTGAAGCTTGTGAAGAAAAGGCCTTATTGAAGTCTTGGGCAAGTGCCGCTGTAAGTGGGAGAGGTCTTTAGAGGAATTCAAGGAATGGTGTTGGAAATATCCTTAGTATGCCAAATATAAACTCTTCAGGGAAGCTGAGATGTAAGTAGTTTTCCTACTTTACAATATTACTAGTTAGTTTTCTGAGTCAGAGGAGAAAAGGGAAGTTTCTTTTTTTTTATTAAAAAATTAGAGTTTTAGTGCAAAGGAAAGGAAGAAGTATTTGAAGAGGTTTCCTTTTAGACATGAATGTGGTTCATGTAATCTGACATTTCACGTACCTGATTCTGTATTTGGGGTTTTTTTTTTCCTGCCTTTAGTAACTCCTAGGAATAAGATGTCCCTGGGTAATAGAGTATACATAGTCACACAACAGTCCAGTGTAGTACTCCAATTAACCACTTAAATTAGTTATTCTTCTGTCTCACCTAATGTTGCAGAGCCCATAAGACTTTATGGGCTAATTCAAATGTCAGTTTAAGGGTTAATAAACAATCCTTGGTGATGAGTCTTTTAAGGCATTTATAGGAGAACTAGATGCATGATTTAAGTGGTTTAGCACTTGCCTAGCAAGCTCTTGCCTAGATGAGCTCAAACCTCAAAACTGCAAGAACAATAATAATAAAATCTGAATGTAGTGGTTCTAGCCTGTAATGTAACTCCAACTCTTTGAGGGGTGGGAATTGGAGGATCAGAGTTTGAGAGGTCAGTCTGGGCATAAAAAGTGACAAGGCTCTTAACAAATGACTGGATGTGGTAGTGCACACCTGTTATCCCAACTATGGGTGCAGAGGCTCATCTTTATAACCTATGGGAGAAATACAAATAGGAGAATCACAATCTAGGCCAGCCTGAACTTAAAGCAAAATCCTATGTTGAAAATAGCCAATACCAAAAAAGGACTGATAAAGTGATAGAGTATCTGCTTTGGAAATGTAAGGCCCTGAGTATAAACCCTAGTATATGGGTTAGGGAGGTTGGGGAGGAAGCACTTGAACTTTTTAGAGAAAATCAGGAAAAGAAATATTTGATAGGTATTGTTAATCACATCAGTGAATATGAACAACTTGAGGTATTCTACTGAAGTTAACCTATCTGTTGAACAAGTTTGTTTGTAACCAGTTACTGTAATGAGAGGATCTGTGAGTATGTATGGTGGTATAATGATCTAAGCTTATTAGCAAATTCTTCTCTGCCATTTGTTGCTGAATTGATTCTGGCTACAGAGGACATTTTTGTTAGCAATAAGTCAAATATGAGGTTTAGAATTTACGTCTTTACTTTGTTATTGTAAATGGCCAGCTCCTAAAATACTGTTGTTGTTGTTTTACTAAAACCTGATATAAGAAAATTGATCATGTCAATTTTTTAACTTACCTAGAATTCATTGGTAGTGGACTCTACTCAAGGTAAAGTGTACATTTGGAGTATAAGAATTTACATAAATATGTCTTATATTGCTTTTTGAATATTTTGCAAAGTTATTTTCTAGCTCCAATATGAAAAGACATAATCATGCAGAATCAAAGCATTACCTTTCACAATACCTGAATGTTGGAGATATTCTTAAAGTAATTTGTTTTATTAGCTAGACCTGATTTATATTTATATTAGTGCAATGTGAAGTATTTAACAGTTATAATCTGTAATACAAATTGTGAATTGCAGTGGTTTCTTTTATCAGAGTTTATCCTCAATTTTTAGGCTTTTTTTTTTTTTTGGGAAAAAGTCCAAACCTTCATTCATTCATTTGTTCACTTTAAGCTTCTGTTGCATAGTATCATTCCCGCCTCAACTATTGTTATAAATAATATATCAGCCATCTAGAAGTACTCTTATCCATAGGCAGGGCATTGTTAGAATCTGAAGATTCCAAATATAGTCTCTATTGGTTAATCTCTAGCTGTCTCCTTTTTTTTAGGTTTACCAAACTTATATAACTTGGAATTTTCCTACTGTGAATATTAATATGATTGTAAGTCACCAATGCAAGATTCTTAGGCTGAAAGAACAACACTAAAGATCTATCCAACTAAGAATTTGTGGTTTTATAAGTTTGAGCTGTTTTTCATATGATTCTATGCTCTATGTGTAGTTTATAAATACTAAAGCAGCTGTGGTTTGACAAAAAGAGCACTAAGGAATCAGAATATGAAGACTGAAATCCCAGCCACATTACAGGAACATAAATGTCTATAAGCCATCCTGATACTGAACTCAATTTCCCATCTTCATAATGGGACGAAAAACTTGCATTTCATGGTAAGGCTGTGAAATGATATATTTAAATGTTCCTGGCTCCTGAACACTCATTTGAATTTCTAAAATTTTCTGTTGTCTGAGCTATCTTTCTTCTTTTGAGATTATTTTCCTATTTTCTTGTTTGTTTTTTTAGGGTGTGTTGCAAGCTTTGCTCAAATGTCTCATGATCATTGGTGGTCTATTTATATTTAAGAATGGGACATTTGCAATGCTGGCTGACAGTTGTGTACAAATGGTTGGAGCCAGTCTACTGTCAACCTTTGCTTTGAGAGGGAGTATGGGGAAGACCAATTGTTAGGTCAGGAGCTTATAAATGCCACAGTTGTTGGATGAATGTACTCTAAACAATTTATTCAGTTTTGAAAGAAAAGGCATTTTCACTCTATACAGAGAATATAAACGCTTAACTGCCAGACATTTTAACATACGGGGGTGAGAAGTTTTCAGAAAATTAGTTGACTCTAAACAGGCTTATATTTTCCATTAATACCTGTTTTTTTTCTTTTTACCCAACATATTATTCTCCCTCTGGTCTTTATAAGATGCTGAAGTACATTTGGCCTTCAGGAGCTCAGGCTCCTTCAAGCCTTATTCTATGGTGTGTTTCCCATCATTCTGATTCACTAATAACAGGAGGATCAAGCAAATATCTGTCAGCTTTCACACACAAAGGAGCAGCAACTAGAATTATTTGTCTTCTCAAAAGCAATAAATAGAAGTTAGAAGATAATGGGACAGTGTTTTCAAAATTCAGAAGGAAAATTATATGAAACACAGATTTCTGTTCTGAGCCTATGAATTTTATTTGAAGGTAGAATAAAGATATTTTTAAAATATCTAACGCCTTGTATAACTTCTGGTAAATCTCCATCAAAAAGACAAAATTCGCCTGCACTGGTACTTATAATCCTAACTACTTAGAGATGAGATATGAGGATTACAGTTCAAAGCCAGCCTGGACAGGAAAGTTCTTGAGACGCATCTCCAGTACACTACTCAGAAAAAGCTGGAAGTAGTGCTATGGCTCAAGTGGTAGAGCGCTAGCCTTGAGGACAAAGAGGCTCAGGGACAGAGTCCAGACCCTGAATTCAAGCCCCAGGACCGGCCAAAAAAAAAAAGACCAAGTAAACCAAACCAAAGAAGGCAGGAGATATTGGAAACAGGAGATCCACTGTGAAAAAATGTTGAAAGTTTTAAGAAGACAGCTATATCAGGAAGGAAGGGGAGATAATCTAAATTGACACAGGTCTGAGGGTATAGGAATGACTTCTCAAAGTTGTAATTGAGTCTGGCACCAGTGTTTTATATCAGTAATTGTAGCTACTCAGGAAACTGAGATCTGAAGATTGCAGTTTGAAGTCATACTGAGCAGAAAAGTCCTCAAGACTATTTCTACCCAGGAGGGAAAATGCTGAGCATGCTATGATCCCAGTTTGAGGCCAACTTGGGAAAAACTTTATAGTGAGATCTCATCTCAATCAGTAAACCCAGGGTGATGTGGGATATCTTATCATCCTGGTAACATGGAAAGCTCTAGGTAGGAAGATCAAGGCCCAAGAATTGTAAAAGCAAAAGGGCCTATCTGAAAAATAAGGGATTAGGGGCATGATTCAATTGGTAGGATGCCTGTCTAGCAAATACAAAGCCCAATGATCAAACCCCAGTATCAGCAAATAAAAAAGAAGAGGTGGGATAAAGGAGCTTCCATGTGGACAGTTAATTTACTATCTGTGGTGACAACAGATGTTCCTTATTATATATCATAATTATCTAGTAGAAATGTCAGCAATGTGTGTAACTAAAATCTTTCTAGTGGACACACAAATAAAATGAAAACAAAACAGATAAAATTAATTTTAATAGCATGTTTAACACAACAAATAATTTCAACATGGAGTTAACATGAAAAATTTTATTTTTGTACTGTTTTCTAGTAATATTTGTATTCTTGAATAAAGTATATATATATTTATATCAGAGCACATCTTAATTGGTACTAGTCACATTTCAAGTGCCCTTGGACAGTACAGTTCTCTTATTCATGAGTCCTCAGTCGTTTTTTGAACCATGTGGCGGCAAGAAAACTAGCGAGTCATTGAAATGATGTCCAAATGCCCGGAGCCGATATACTCCATACATCATTACTTCCATCTTTTCGGGAGTCAGTCCGTTAAAAGTAATAGCCATATCCGAACAGCAACCTTTTACTATTTGTTGAGGGTAGCCGAGCATGGCCTCTTGAATAAGATATGCGATTGGTTTTGTATTAAATACATTTTTCCCTTCAAAATCCTCTGCGTTTTCGGCTAAAATGCCTGCATTCTTCAGGCAGAGGGCAAGCTGCCTATCGTAGGCTAGATTCCAGATCAAATTGGGATCTGAACAGCTTTGGTCGTTAAGGAGCCTTTGGATAAATCTTTTCATCGACTCTATGCTCAAGACAATTCCTCCTTCGGCAGTCACATACTCGAGGTCTCCAGAGAGGGCGGTGTGGCCCAGGTAGAAAGGTTGCCAGGCGTCCCTGGTCAGGAGAAAGTACTTTAAGTTCTCGATGACCGCGAAGGTGGTGGGGAGGGTAACAAAGTACCAGCTGTAGTTGTAGCCGTACTTCCCAAAGACATACTTGTACGTGTCCCTCATCTGAATCCACCGATCGTCGCTCTTCGCTCGGACCAGCTCTGCGCCGTCGCAGTGCTTGGTCCAGGTCTTTTTCAGGACGGCCCAGTCGCTCTGGTCTTCCCATTCTCCGAGGATGACACACAGGACCCGGATGCTTCGGTTGAGCTGCGAGCGTGTGGCGTCTAACAAGTTTAAGAACTCCTTTCCGCCGGGTGGGGGAAGGTGACGGTGTCTGTGGTTTTGAAGCAGACCCTCATGTCGAATGTGAATATGGCTGAGAGTAGTTAGCAAAGCCCAGGAAACGATCCCCACCAACGTACCCTTAATAAAGGATGCCCCAGGCGAAGCCATGTTCCAGACGTTGAAGACAGCTCGCGCCAAACAGGGGCCCTGGTGACACGGGCAGAGGAGGCCACTTCCGGGGTGGGGGGGGAGGGAGAAGCTGTGTCTCTGTGGAGCACTTCCGGGATGGGCCACCACTTTATGGGCCACTTCCCTAAGGAACCTCTCTAGCTGCTGGACGGGGCCTCGATGGTGTCATAGGGGGCGGGGCCAGGGCCAGCCTTAGTCTAATTCAACTAGATGGGGACCCGGGCGAGTTGAAGGCACCCCACATGTTCTGGACGTTGCAACCACTTAGCCAACAAGAAAACTTGAAAATAAGCAGAAGTGCGCTCCTAGGAAGTCAGATTTCTGCATTTAGTAAAAAGAATTTTAAATTGAACTTAACCTGGTGACTTGTGAAAGTCAACATGTGGCACACTTACACTGTTCATTTTGGTATTTGTGTGTGTGTGTGTGTGTGTGTGTGTGTGTGTGTGTGTGTATTCTGAGATTCTCATATGTTCTTTCCATAATCTTATAAGAATGTAAAACTGTGTAGTACTGACTTAAACGTATCCATAGTGTTGGAACACACCAATTCCCTGAAGTCTTTGAATTTTTGATCAAAATACCAAGTGTAACATTTCAAGTCTTGCTTGCTTGCTTTTTCTTTCTTTTTCCTTACTTCCTTTCTTTTTAAACTTTTCTGTTATTTGGTTATTCTTACTATATCTTGACCAACAATTTCTAGTCTACTGATGAATACTCCTGTGGTATAGATTACATTATATCAAAATATCAAAACTTTGGCATTTTGTTTGATCAGGTTGGTTTTTTGCTTTTGTTTTTGTTTGGCCATTCTTGGGGGCTTGAACTCAGGGCCTGGGCACTGTCCCTGGACACTGTCCTTGAGCTTCTTTGTGGTCAAGGCTAGTGCTCTACCACTTGATCCACAGCTCCACTTCTGCCTTTTTCTGAGTAGTTTATTGGAGATGAGTCTCAGAGGCTTTTCTACCTGGGCTGGCTTCGAACTGTGATTCTCAAATCTCACCTTCCTGAGTAGCTAGGATTACAAGTGTGAGCCACCAACGCCTGGCTTTTTTTTTTTTTAAATATTTTATTGTTGTTTGATCAGTTTTTTTTTACATTGACATTTTTATTAACACCAACTGTTTTTAATTAGTTTTTTTAAATGATAGCAAAAAGTTTCAAGGAAGCAGTCTCACAATCTGATGACCTTCCAAAATACAGTTAAGCCACACCAAATATGAATTTGTTAATAACAAATTTTTTTAAAAAAAACAGGAGAAAGAAAAATAAAAAGGGACAGAGGAAGGGAAAGATTTACAGTTCAAACTTACTAGATTCGGTAGGTGAGGCTCATTAGTAGGATACACTGTGGAAGCAGAGTGGCACACATAGGTGTAGTCTGTTTTTTAAAGCAGTTACCACTAATACGTGGGCCCTGCAGCAATTACCACTGGCTTCTCACATGCACACGAACTAGGAGAAGCCAGATTTGGGTTGATACTGTTATAGAGAGGTTCAATGATTGGCCTGCCAGACAACCAAGACCATTTTTAGCAGAATAATTCCCTCAGAAATCTTTGTTTCTATCTCACCTAGTATTTTCTTCAAGGTACTTAAAAGTCATGTTTAATCAGTTTTTAAATCTGCCAAAAGTCTTTAGCAAATTTCATTGTAAATAACTAATATCTAGTGAATTACTTTATTCTTTAGAAAGTTGGTCATGTGAGATTTGAAATCTCTTTCTAAAAGGAAAATTTTAAGTTTATGAATTTTTAAGTTTTTATATATTTTATATTTCTTCTTACAGATGCAACAGCTTGAGAGACAAGTTATTGATGCTGAACGTCAAGCAGAAAAAGCTTTTCAACAGGTAAAGTATAATCTGAAAAGTGTTTTTCTGCCTCTATAATGGTTTTACTTAAAATCAGAAAATAGTTTGTCAGTGCTCCAGTACATTTTACAATTTTGACTGTTCATGAGCTTGACCCATAGAGGGGCTAGTCCAGGGCCAGAATTAGTCTAGTTCAACTAAAATGGTACCCTGGGGTGAGTTGAAGGCACCACCCAGCCAACAAGAGAACTTGAAAGTGAGCAGAAATGAGCTCATTGGACTCTACATACTACCAAGGAAAAAAGACTTCCTAAATTAGAAAATTGCATTTTCTGAGAAAATGAAATATGGCTTTAAAATAACACTAATTATAACTAAGATTTAAATATAAATATGTTCATAGCACCTTTACTTATAGTAGTAAAGGTTAGAAATATCTGGGGATATTGGGTTGTCACAGAATAAGGACACCAACTAGAAAGAAACTTGGCAAGGTAAAATTTACTTCTGCAAGAAGGGTGTGCCATCAACTGAAACTCTGGCAAGCAAGCAAAAAAACAAGCAGGATGCTCCTATTTTTTTTTTTAATCCCTGAACCAGCATATCCTGCCCCTTTGTTTAGATTGGCTGAGTTCAGGTTCACAATCTGCAGAAGGTTGTGGTTTAATTAACAGAATCTAAATAAAATTCAAGAAGTGCTTTTTTTTCTTTTTTTGTCAATTGTGGAACTTGTACTCTGGGCCTGGGCACTGTCCCTGAGCTCCTTTTGCTCAAGGCTAGTCACAGCACCACTTCCAGCTTTTTCTGTGATTAATTGAAGATAAGAGTCTCATGGACTTTCCTGCCTGGGCTAGCTTCAAACCACCATCCTCAGATCTCAGCCTCCTGAGTAGCTAGAATTATAGGTGTGAGCAAGTGGTACCCAGCTTAGATATTTCTTTTTTTTTCTTTTTTTTGTCGGTTGTGGGGCTTGAACTCTGGGCTTGGGGGCTGTGCCTACGCTCTTCAGCTCAAGGCGAGAACTCTACCACTTGAGCCACAGCGCCACTTCTGGTTTTCGAGTAGTTTATTGGAGATAAGAATCTCAAAGACTTTCCTGCTGACGCTGGCTTTGAACCGAGATCCTCAGATCTCAGCCTCCTGAGTAGCTAGGATTACAGGCGTGAGCCACCAGCGCCCGGCTAGATATTTCTTATAGATGGATTTAGATCATATGTGCTCTTTTGTGTCTGGATACTTTTATTTAGCAAGATATTATCAAGATTCACCACGTGAACATAAGGCTATGCTATGTTTATCCACTCATGTACTGATGAACATTTTTTCCCCACCTTTAGACTATCATTGTTGCCATGAACATGTATATAGGAGTGTTTGTAAACCTATTTAATTCATTTATCTGCATACCATTTTTTCTTGTGTTTAATAGTTGACCTATTCAAATTTTGAAATCAGAACTTGACCCATTTCATTTGATTTTTTCCCCCTTTTTGTTGTGTTGATCCTGAGGCTTGAACTCAGAGTCTGGGTGCTGTCCCGGAGCTTTTTCACTCAAGATTAGTGCTCTATCCCTTGAGTCATAGCTCCACTTCCAGCTTTTTGGTGGTTAATTGGAGATAAGAGTCTCAGGGATTTTCCTGCCCTGGCTGGCTTCAGAGATCCTCAGATCTCAGCCTCTTGAGTAGCTGTGATTAGGGGTATGAGTCACTGGTGCCTGGTTTCATTTGATTCTTAGACAATTTAGTCTATAAGGTCTCTTCTTTTTTCATTCTTTTTTGTTTCTTTTTCTTATATGTTGGGGGAAAAATGTTAATTTGACCTCTAAAGCTGGATACCTCCTGGATTTTACAGGTTACAGCACTATGCTGTTATTTAACAAGAGGCATTTAATATTCTATATTTCCTGTAAAATACAGTCAATCTAAACATTTGACCCTCTTTCTCTTAAACTCCCTTGTCAGATTGTATATTTCTATCATGATGCATGTTAGGTCTAGTTATCTCTTTTTGTGTATTATATTAGCAGCTATTGATAATCTTGTTTTGATCAATTATTTCAAAGGGAGGCAATCACTTTTTGCACAATGGCCTTTATTTTTCAGAATAACTTGAGACTGACACCAAAACTGACTAGGAAGTACAGCATTCTCATGTACTTTCTCCTTTATCACATATCCACATTCCATCTAGCCTTTTTTACCATTCATATCCCACATTAGTTGGTACGTTTGTTACAATCATTGAACCAACACTGACACATTATTATCCCTTGAAGACCATAATTTACTTTAGGGTTTATAATTTACTCCTAGTTTTTTTAATGTTCTATGGGTTTTGACAAATGTATAATGACTTTTATTCACCACTGTATTATCATTATAGAATAGTTGTGTGATGCTTTAAAATTTGGTGCTTAATCTAATTATCCTTTCTTGCTTCAAAGTTGCTAGAAGCTACAATCTTTTTACTGTCCCCACAGCTTTGCCTTTAAAAGAATGTTATAGTTAGAATAATACAGTACATAGACAGTTCATATTGGTTTTTCTTCACTGCATTGTTTCGTTCATGGCTTTTTATAGCTTGAGAGCTTAGTTCTTTTTAGTGCTGAATACAATTCCATTGTATGAATTAGCACAGTTTATTTATAGTTATTACTTTAAAAAATCAATATAATATATAAAACCATAAAGTATACTAGATAATTATACAAGCATGTACTTGTGTAACTACCACTACCTCTACTACCAAGATATAGAGCATTTTATTGCCCTGGAGGATTCTCTTGTGCTCCTTCTCCATCCACACCCCTGTTCCACTAAAATTAAGTAATGCATATTCTCTTGTCTATCACCATAGATTAGGTTGGCTATTCTCGATGTATGTATTTTTTGGTGTCCTGGATGCTTTTGCTCAATGTTACATATATGTGTATACACACACACACACACACACACACACACACACACACACACACACACACACACACACACACACACACACACACACACATATATACATACATTACCATGTGCATTCAAATTTTCAATGTGACTTCGCTTCAATTTTTATTCATTCGCCTGATGGTGGGACATTTAATTTATCTTCAGTTATAGGATCTTATGAAAAAAGCGGCTGCAAACATTTCTATTCTTTTATTTTGGTGGGTATGCGTTCTTGTTTCTGCTTGGGTATATACCTAGGGGTACAATTGGTGAGCCACAGGCTGGCTAATGTTTACTTCAATAGATGTTGGCAAATGGTTTTCCAAAGTGAATTACTGGGTTGCATTCCTACTCAGTGTGTGAAAATTCCAGTTGCTTCAGACCTTCTTGCTAACAGTTGGCATTATTCTTTTTAGTTTTAGCCATTCTAACCATGCTATTGCTCAACAGAATGCTAATCTAAATTCTATTCCTTAGCATAATAGATATGTGTACACACAATAGACCATTTCCAAATTTGAATTTATCTGGAGTAGAATATATCCATTTGACATCTGATAATCTCTGCCAAAAGAAAACCCGAACAGGTTTTTCTTTTTTAATTTAAATTTTACTGTAATGATGATGTACATAGGGGTTACAGTTACATGAATCAGGTGAAGAGTACATTTCTTTTTAAACAGTGTTACCCCCTCCCTGATTTTCTCCCACTTTTTTCCCTCCTGACCCCCAACCCTTTAAGTTGCAAAGTTCATTTCCATCATAGTGTCTAGTGAGTATCACTGTTGCATTGATTCACCCTTTGTCCCACAACTTCTGTGATTACCCTTCCCTTCCCCAAATTAGATAAACATATATATAAGACAAAGGGTACAGAAATAGAAGTCAGTGACAAAAAGAAAAAAATAAAGGGGAAAAATAAAGAAAAATAATTGAAACCCTCTTGTTTCCATTTCTTGGAGTTCATTTCAATAAACACCATTTTGTATGGTCATATGCACATAGCTATTGAGCCATGGTGATCCTCTCAAGAATATACTCCTTTGTTCTCACTGTACGAATGCTCAGTGCTATTTAATCATGTCCAAGTGTAATTATTTGTCTCTTATTATGCATTGGATTAACTTGTAGATTTATGGACATATTCTAGTTATTACAAATGAGGGGAAACCATGCAGCCTATGTTTCTTTGGGTCTGGCTTACTTCACTTAAAATAATTTTTTCCATGTCTTTCCATTTCCTTACGAATGAGGCGGCAACATTCTTTCTGATGGAAGCATAGAATTCCATTGTGTTTATAAACCACATTTTCTTGATCCATTCGTCCACTGAGAGGTATCTGGGTTAATTCTATATCTTGGTATGGTAAATAATACAGCAGTGAACAATGAATATGGTTGTGTTTATGGCTTTAGTGCGGGCTGGTTTGTGGTCATTTGGGTAAATGCCCAGGAGTGTGATTGCTGGGTTATAGGGAAGCTCTAAGTTTAATCTTTTGAGGACCTCCATAATTCTTTCCAGAGTGGTTGGGCATGTTTACATTCCTACCAACAATATCATAGTGTTCCCTTTTGGTCACATCCCCACCAGCATCTAATATTATTAGTTTTCCTGATAACAGCCGTTCTAACTCGGGTGAGGTGGAATCTCAATGTTGTCTTGATTTGTATTTCTTTTATGGCCAGAGATGATGAACATTTCTTCATATGTCTATTGTCCATTCTTCTTTCCTTTTCAGAAAAGTCTCTTTAAGTCTTTAGCCCACTTATTAATGGGTTTGTTGTTTCTTTGGGGATTTGTTTTTCAGTGGTTTAATTTTTTGAGCTCTAAATGTATTTTACATATGAGGCCCTTGTCTGATATATGGCTAGTAAAGGTTTTCACCCATTCTGTGGGCTTTCTATTTATTTTGCTAGCTATGTCCTTTGCCATGCAGAAACGCTTCAGTTTGATGCTGTCCTATTTATCCAGCCTTTCTTTAATTTGTTGTGATTATGGATCTTTAGGAAGTTTCAACCTACAAACAGGCTTTTCTTACTGCAAAAAATTAATTGAATCTGCCAAGATAGGAGGTGATTGTAGACTATAATATAAGA